CTATATCTCTGTTTTGGTACCAGTACCATGCTGTTTTGATTACTATAGCCTTGTAGTATAGTTTGAAGTCAGGTAGCATGATGCCTCCAGCTTTGTTCTTTTTGCTTAGGATTGTCTTGGCTATGCGGGCTCTTTTTTAGTTTTATATGAAGTTTAAGGTGGTTTTTTTCCAGTTCTGTGAAGAGGGTCATAAGTAGTTTGATAGGGATAGCGTTGAATCTATAAATTAATTTGGGCAATATGGCCATTTTGACAATATTGATTCTTTCTAACTTTGAGCATGGAATGTTTTTCCATCTGTTTGTGTCCTCTCTTATTTCCTTGAGCAGTGGTTCATAGATCTCCTTGAAGAGGTTCTTTACATCCTTTGTCAGTTGTATTCCTAGGTATTTTATTCTCTTTGTAGCAATTATGAATGGGAGTTCGCTCTTGATTTGGCTCTCTTTTAGTCTGTTATTGGTGTATAGGAATGCTTGTAATTTCTCCGCGTTGATTTTGTATCCTGAGACTTTGCTGAAGTTTCTTATCAGTTTAAGGAGATTTTGGGCTGAGATGATGGGGTCTTCTAAATATATAATCATGTCATCTGCAAATAGAGATAATTTCACTTCCTCCTTTCCTAATTGAATACCCTTTATTTTTTTTTTCTTGCCTGATTGCTCTGGCTAGAACTTCCAATACTATATTGAATAGGAGTGGTGAGAGAGGGCATCCTTGTCTAGTGCCAGATTTCAAAGGGAATGCTTCCAGTTTTTGCCCGTTTAGTATGGCATTGGCTGTAGGTTTGTTGTAAATAGCTTTTATTATTTTGAGATACGTTCTATTGATACCTAGTTTCTTGAGAGTTTTTAACATAAAGCGCTGTTGAATTTTGTCAAAGGCCTTCTCTGCATCTATTGAGATAATTGTGGTTTTTGTCTTTGGTTCTGTTTATGTGGTGGATTACGCTTATAGACTTGCATATGTTGAACCAGCCTTGCATCCCTGGGATGAAGCCTACTTGATTGTAATGGATAAACTGTTTGATGTGCTGTTGCAATAGTTTGCCAGTATTTTATTGAAGATTTTTGCATCTATGTTCATCATGGATATTGGCCTGAAGTTTTCTGTTTGTGTTGAGTCTCTGCTGGGTTTTGGTATTAGGATGATGTTGGTCTCATAAAATGATTTGGGAAGGATTCTCTCTTTTTGGATTGTTTGGAATAGTTTCAGAAGGTGTGGTACCAACTTCTCTTTGTATGTCTGGTCGAATTCGGCTGTGAACCCATCTGGACCTGGGCTTTTTTTGGTTGTTAGGCTATTAATTGCTGCCCCAACTTCAGCCCTTGTTATTGGTCTATTCAGGGTTTTGACTTCTTCCTGTTTCAGTCTTGGAAGGGTGCCAGTGTCCAGGAATTTTATCCATTTCTTCCAGGTTTACTGGTTTGTGTGCATAGAGTTGTTTGTAGTAATCTGTGATGGTACTTTGTATTTCTGTGGAATTGGTGGTGATATCCCCTTTATTGTTTTTTATTGCATCTATTTGATTCTTCTCTGTTTTCTTTTTTATTAATCTGGCTAGCGGTTTATTTTGTTGATCTTTTCAAAAAACCAGCTCCTGGATTTATTGATTTTTGGTAGGGTTTTTTTGTGTCTCTATTTTCTTCAGTTCTGCTCTTAACTTAGTTATTTCTTGTCTTCTGCTAGCTTTTGAGTTTTTTTGATCTTGCTCCTCTAGCTCTTTCAGTATTGATCATAGGGTGTCGATTTTAGATCTTTCCTTGCTTCTCATGTGTGCATTTATTGCTATAAATTTCCCTCTAGACACTGCTTTAAATGTGTCCCAGAGATTCTGATATGTTGTATATTTGTTCTCGTTGGTTTCGAAGAACATCTTTATTTCTGCCTTCATTTCATTGTTTATCCAGTCAACATTCAAGAGTCAGTTGTTCAGTTTCCATGAAGTTGTGCATTTCTGCATTAGTTTCTTAATCCTGAGTTCTAATTTGATTGCACTGTGGTCTGAGAGACTTATGATTTCTGTTCTTTTGCATTTGCTGAGGAGTGATTTACTTCCAATGATGTGGTCAGTTTTAGAGTAGGTACCATGCGGTGCTGAGAAGAATGTATATTCTGTGGATTTTGGTGGAGAGTTCTGTAGATATCTAATAGGTTTGCTTGGTCCAGACCTGAGTTCAAGTCCTGGATATCCTTGTTAATTTTCTGTCTCATTGATCTGTCTAATATTGACAGTGGAGTGTTAATGTCTCACACTATTATTGTGTGGGAGTCTAAGTCTCTTTGTAGGTCATTAGGAACTTGCTTTATGTATCTGGGTGCTCCTGTATTGGGTGCGTATATATTTAGGATCATTAGCTCTTCGTTGCATTGATCCTTTTACCATTATGTAACACCCTTCTTTGTCTCTTGTGATCTTTGTTGGTTTAAAGTCTGTTTTATCAGAGACTAGGATTTGATCTTCTGCTTTTTTTTCTCTCCATTTGCTTGGTAAATCTTCCTCCATCCCTTTATTTTGAGCCTGTGTGTGTCCTTGCACATGCGATGGGTTTCCTGAATACAGCACACTGATGGATTTTGACTTTTTATCTGATTTGCCAGTCTGTGTCTTTTGATTGGGGCATTTAGCCCATTTACATTTAAGGTTAACAGTGTTATGTGTGAATTTGATCCTGCCATTTTGATGCTAGCTGGTTGTTTTGCCCATTAATTGACACAGTTTCTTCATTGTGTTGATGGTCTTTACCATTTGGTTCTTTTTTGGAGTGGCTGGTACTGGTTGTTCCTTTCTATGTTTAGTGCTTCTTTCAGGATCTCTTGTAAGGCAGGCCTGGTAGTGATGAAATCTCTTCAGCAATTGCTTGTTCATAAAGGATTTTATTTCTTCTTTGCTTATGAAGCTTAGTTTGGCTGGATATGAAATTCTAGGTTGAGGCCGGGCACGGTGGCTCAAGCCTGTAATCCCAGCACTTTGGGAGGCCGAGGCGGGTGGATCACGAGGTCAAGAGATCGAGACCATCCTGGTCAACATGGTGAAACCCCGTCTCTACTAAAAATACAAAAAAATTAGCTGGGCATGGTGGTGCGTGCCTATAATCCCAGCTACTCAGGAGGCTGAGGCAGGAGAATTGCCTGAACCCAGGAGGCGGAGGTTGCGGTGAGCCGAGATCGCGCCATTGCACTCCAGCCTGGGTAACATGAGTGAAACTCTGTCTCAAAAAAAAAAAAAAAAAAAAAAAAATGAAATTCTAGGTTGAAAGTTCTTTTCTTTAAGGATGTTGAATATTGGTCCACAGTCTCTTCTGGCTTGTCAGGTTTCTGCTGAGAGATCCACTGTGAGTCTGATGGGCTTCCCCTTGTGGGTAACCTGACCTTTCTGTCTGGCTGCCCTTAGCATTTTTTCCTTCATTTCAACCCTGATGAATCTGACGATTATGTGCCTTGGGGTTGCCCTTCTTAAGGAATATCTTTGTGGTGTTCTCTGTATTTCCTGAACTTGAATGTTGACCTGCCTTGCTAGGTTGAGGAAGTTCTCTTGGATAATATCCTGAAGAGTGTTTTCCAGCTTGGATTCATTCTCTCTGTCACATTCAGGTACACCTATCAAACGTAGATTTGGTCTTTTCACATAATCCCATATTTCTTGCAGGCTTTGTTCATTTCTTTTCACTCTTTTTTTCTCTAATCTTGCCTTCTCGTTTTATTTCATTGAGTTGATCTTCAATCTCTGATATCATTTCTTCTGCTTGGTCAATTCGGCTATTGAAACTTGTGTATGCTTTGTGAAGTTCTCGTGTTGTTTCTCAGCTCCATCAAGTCATTTATATTTTTCTCTAAGCTGTTTATTCTCGTTAGCATTTTGACTAACCTTTTTTCAAGTTTCTTAGTTTCTTTGCATTGGGTTAGAACATGTTCTTTTAGCTCAGAGAAGTTCGTTATTACCCACCTTCTGAAGCCTGTTTCTGTCAATTCATCAGACGCATTCTCCATCCAGCCTTGTTCCCTTGCTGGTGAGGAGTTGTGATCCCTTAGAGGAGGAGAAGCATTCTGGTTTTTGGTGTTTTCATCCTTTTTGCGCTGGTTTCTTCCCATCTTTGTGGATTTATCTACCTGTCATCTTTGTAGTAGGTGACTTTCAGGTGGGGTCTCTGAGTGGACATCCTTTTTGTTGATGTTGGAAGTTATTTCTTTCTGTTTTTTAGTTTTCCTTTTAACAGTCAGTCCACTCTGCTGTAGGACTGCTGGAGGTCCACTCCAGACCCTGCTTGCCTTGGGATCACCTGTGGCAGTTGGAGAACAGTAAGGGTTGCTGCCAATTGTTTCTAGGTTTTTAAGGAAATATCTATCAAATTTCTATCTGGCCACAAAGCCAATTGAACAGAGATTTCAATGACCATTCATAACAAAGAATACACCCTTTACAAAAATACTCTAGAAAACCGAATAAGCAACTACAACCCAAAACAAGCAACAACAACAAACCTTGGAAAAGGGAAAGAATTTGATTTCTAGTGACATCACATTATAATATTCAAAACATCCAGTTTTCAACAAAAAAGTTACAAGATATGCAGAGAAACAAGAAAATAGAGCATTCACAGATATCAGTAAAAACAACTGTTGCATTGTTTACATAGCTCAATACACATCAGCATTCCAAAGCTCAACACACATCTGCATTCCAAAACCTTACATGGTTTTAGGCATCTTGAGGGAAAGGACAGAATAAGCAATTTCGTTATCAAGATTGTCAAAAGGTAAGAAGCTGGAGGCTAAGGATAGATAATAGTGCTGGTGAGTATTCCAGTTACAAGCTCCCTTTCCTATTTCTTCTGGGTGGGGACTGGGCAGTGGGAAAAGAGCAAAGGAACACATGAAGTGATTACAGAAAGGAACTTTCCAAGCCCCAAAGAGGATGCATTAACTTGCTCCCTTAGTTTATATGCAAGGCAATACATGGGCAAGGTATGATCTAATTCCTTGTTTGTGTCTTTATGCTGCAGCACGTGCCCTTATAGTCGGCCTCCCTTTGGCTATGGAAATTTTCCAAGTTCTATGCCAGAATGCCTTGGTTATTATGAAGACACGTACCAAAAACATGAGGCTATATTTTCAGCTTTAAATAGAGAGTATCCTTTTAGAGACTACCAAGATGAACGCACACACAGCGAAAATTCTCGGAGTTGTGAGAACATAGATGGAACCTCTTACTATAACAGTCATAGCCACAGTGGGGAAGAATACTTAAACCCTGTGCCTCAGCTGGACATTGGAACCTTGGAGAATGTCTTCACAGCCCCAACATCAACTCCTTCTAGCATCCAGCAAGTCAATGTCACTGACAGTGATGAGGAGGAAGAAGAAAAAGTACTCAGGAATTTATAATTTTAAAACAAATATACACAGAAAATAAACATTTCTTAAAATATATTCTGGGTCAGTTGGTATGAGAGAGAAAAGCCTAGAATGCTTTGCTGAAAGTTTTCAGTCATGATTTGAGGAGTTAAAACCAAATGCAATTTATGTCTTCATAAAATTTTGATTAGTGAAACTAGAGTCTGGATGTTTCATTGTAGGAATATTTAAGATATTAAGTAATTTATTTTTAATGGCTGAAATTTGCATCAATATATATTATCATTACTTTATCCTGGAACATGCAAAATTCTAAAGCCTCACAATTGTATGTGAGGGAAAAGGGGGTATATATCTAGCATAGTGTGATTTTTATTTTATCTCAAGATACATTTATTTGTCTTAAATGATTTTTTTGTTTGGTGTTTATGTAATACTTATGGTTGTTGCCAATTTTTGATGTGACATTTTGAAAATATTTTGACAGGCCGGGCATGGTGGCTCACGCCTGTAATCCAAGCACTTTGGAGGCCAAGGCGGGTGGATCACCTGAGGTCGGGAGTTCAAGACCAGCCTGACCAACATGGTGAAACCCTGTCTTTATAAAAAAAAAAAAAAAAAAAGAAAAAAAGAAAATATTTTGACAACTCTTAGTAGTGAACTGGGACTCAGTTGCTAAATTTAATTTACACTAATAACCAATTACAAGTTCCAAATGTGTTTAATGGCACCTGGATAATTCCTTCAGCTAAATTTAGTCATTTCTGTTTCTAAATATTTTATCATCGTTTTTTAATATCCTTTTCCATTTGGCATATATTGTTCTATTTTTGTTGTAATTAAATAAACATAGATAAAATTGTTCTTGTTAGATGTTTTCTGTTTGGGGGATAGAAATAAGCAAACAGAGTATTGTTTATAGAAGATTGTTTTCTACACCACATACAGATACCCATTTTTACCAATAGCCTCCAGAATTGCATAGATTCTGTTAGCTCACATGAGACTTAAACTGTGTATCAACAAAGATGCACACACATTCTGATGCCATTTCCAAACTCTTTACACATATGTACACATGACTTAAGCATGTCCCAGAACAGAAGAACTCTTCCAGATTTGGCTCAAGCAGCTGTCTTGAAAACCATGAAGTTTATTTAAGAGCATGTGGAATTTATTTAATTCAAAATGAACAAAAAAAACCCCTACTTGTGACATAACCTCTTAGTAAGTACCCACTTATGGATTCAGAAGACCTTTTTAGAACAGTGTTAGGACTACCAAAGTTGGGATCATGGTAAAATATCTGTAAGGTACAAAGTGAATTGATGATGGGAAATAGTCACCAACCAATACACTTTTCCCTCGATCTGTATAATTTACGCAAATTGAGATCTTGTTACTTAAAACCGTGTGGAAATTGTGTATGAAAATCTGTTGTAAGCTTCCACCTTCTTCCTTTACTAAACCTGTATTTGTTTCTTAAAGTTTGCTAATGTCATACATTTTATCGGCCTTATACTTAATGTACATAACATTTCCTTTCCCAATAAAAATTTTGTTTTCATGTTTTTATATTCTTTATTACTGTGCACGATGCTGTTTTGATGTCGTTAAAGAGCAAAACTTGAATTTCTTGGTGATAGAAAGCAAACATTATGTCACCTTACATCTGAACTAAAGTAACATTTGGTTGTCTACACATTTGATGTCTATACCGTTAAGGAAAAATGTATGCAACAATTTGACCCGTTTTACCTCATCTCATTTAATAGCACCTTTGTGACTAACTCAGTTTTTACCAAAGACCTTGTTCTTATAGACAAATTGGTTGATGAAATCACTGTGTAAAGTAGAGAATGAGATAGAGCATAGGTCAGTATATCCTAACGGCCTGTCTGCAGGGTAGCCCTGCCCCTCTCCGATTCTTTCCTTAAGCTTTTATTTTAGTGACTAATGCTGGGCAATTCTTTTACTTTTACTCTTCCTCCTATTCCTCAGTGCTGGGATCAGAAGCCAGGAGTTTAGATGGTTTATAGGTCCAAGGAACAATTTGGGCTGGGAAAGATGAATATTTCATTTAGAAAGTACCCAGTTGCAGATGAATGTGCCCAACTACAAATCCCCATATCTGATCATTTATAGCTCTTCAAACCACTGACTGGAGATCTACAGACCAAACAAAGCCCTGCCCCACTGGCAGTAATTCATTGCCTTTCTAAGTCATCAAAGTGAAATTCTCCTAATTCAAAGCCACAAGTACTTTCTAATAGGTCTCATTGCCTTGTTTGTTCGATAATGATATTTGTTATAAGAATAGTCTCAAAGTGTGTTGAAATCTCAATATGTTTAGAATGTCACTCAAACTGTTCCATTTGTTGGACAAAGCTGCTCTCACTATTTGCAAATAAAAATTAGTTTCCCTGCAAATTGACTGAAAATAGAGTTTGAACTTTCAAGGAGCCGAGTTACCAAGTTTAGGAAGAGAAGAGCAGTATTTCTCTATATTTGTCCATGAGAATCCAAGCCCTTTAGATATTCTGACAAAATTTGGTCAAATAAGTTTGAATAAAACATGTCACACCCCATCTTGAAGAGTGTCAGTGTCCGTTGTCATTGGTCTGTCTCAAAAGTCTTGCAATAAAGAAACTTGTTAAACTCTATTTCGGAGTTTTCCCAATCTTATTTATCGTGAACTCTCCCCAACTTTTTGCGTTAACATATCGCTTACTAACATCTCACAGAGCACACTTCAGAAAATGATAATAGCTGGTGACTTTGGTTTAAAAACTGTTGACTTCGCTTATGATTTTCTGCATTGGGCAGTTCAAATTCCTTACTGAAAGCACTGGTTGCATAAACTTTTCTTCATTGTATCTTAATTATCTTAAAAGATTGAAAAACTGAAACTTATTGTTGTTTATTTACTGGATATTAAACTGGCGTTTTTTGTTTTTTTTAAAATTTTACTTGTGTTCAGGTTTGTTACATAGGTATACATGTGCCATGGTGGTTTGCTACACCCATGAACCCATTATCTACATTAGGTATTTCTCCTACTGCTATCCTTTCCCTAGTCCCCCACCTCCCACAGGCCCTGGTGTGTGATGTTCCCCTCCCTGTGTCCATGTGTTCTCATTGTTTAACTCCCACTTATGAGTGAGAACATGTGGTGTTTGGTTTTCTGTTCCTGTGTTAGTTTGCTGAGAATGATGGTTTCTAGCTTCATCCATATCCCTGCAAAGGACATGAACTCATCCTTTCTTATGGCTGCATATGTATATATGCCACAGTTTCTTTATCCAGTCTATCATTGATGGACATTTGGGTTGGTTCCAAGTCTTTGCTATTGTGTACAGTGCTGCAGTGAATATATGTGTGCATGTGTCTTTATAGTAGAATGATTTATAATCCTTTTGGTAAATATCCAGTAATGGGATTGCTGGGTCAAGTGGTATTTCTGGTTCTAGGTCCTTAAGGAATTGCCACACTGTCTTCCACAATGGTTGAACTAATTTACACTCCCACTAACAGTTTAAAAGCATTCCTATTTCTCCACATCCTCTCCAGCATTTGTTGTTCTGACTTTTTAATGATCGCCATTTTAACTGGTGTGAGATACTATCTCATTGTGGTTTTGATTTGCATTTCTCTAATGACCAGTGATGATGAGCATTTTTTCATATGTTTGTTGGCTGCATAAATGTCTTCTTTTGAGACGTGTCTGTTCATAGCCTTCAACACTTTTCAATGGGGTTGTTGTTTTTTTTTTTTTCTTGTAAATTTGTTTAAATTCTTTGTAGCTTCTGGATATTAGCCCTTTGTCAGATGGATAGATTGCAAAATTTTTCTCTCATTCTGTAGGTTGCCTGTTCACTCTGATGATAGTTTCTTTGGCTGTGCAGAAGCTCTTTAGTTTAATTAGATCCCATTTGTCAATTTTGGCTTTTGTTGCCATTGCTTTTGGTGTTTTAGTCATGAAGTCCTTGCCTAGGCCTATGTCCTGAATGGTATTGCCTAGCTTTTCTTCTAGGGTTTTTATGGTGTTAGCTCTTACGTTTAAGTCTTTAATCCATTTCGAGTTAATTTTTGTATAAGGTGTCAGGAAGGGGTCCAGTTTCAGTTTTCTGCTTATGGCTAGCCAGTTTTTCCAACACCATTTATTAAACAGGGAATCCTTTCCCCATTGCGTGTTTTTGTCAGGTTTGTCAAAGATCAGATGGTTGTGGATGTGTGCTGTTATTTCTGAGGCCTTTATTCTGTTCCATTGGTCTATATATCTGTTTTGGTACCAGTAGCATGCTGTTTTGGTTACTGTAGCCTTGTAGTATAGTGAAGTCAGGTAGCGTGACGCCTCCAGCTTTGTTCTTTTTGCAAAGGATTGTCTTGGCTACACAGGCTTTTTCTTGGTTCCGTATGAAAATTAAAGGAGTTTTTTCTAATTCTGTGAAGAAAGTCAATGGTAGATTGATGGGGATAGCATTGAATCTATAAATTACTTTACGCAGTATGGCCATTTTCGCAATATTCAGTCTTCCTATCCGTATGCGTGGAATGTTTTTCCATTTGTTTGTGTCCTCTCTTATTTCCTTGAGCAGTGGTTTGTAGTTCTCCTTGAAGAGGTCCTTCACCTATCTTGTGAGTTGTATTCCTAGATATTTTATTCTTTTTGTAGCAATTGTGAATGGGAGTTCACTCATGATTTGGCTCTTCGTTTGTCTATTACTGGTGTATAGGAATGCCTGTGATTTCTGCACGTTGATTTTGTATCCTGAGACTTTGCTGAAGCTCCTGATCAGCTTAAGGAGATTATGGGCTGAAATGATGGGGTTTTCTAAATATGCAATCATGTCATCTACAAACAGGGACAATTTGACTTCCTCTCTTCCTATCTGAATACCCTTTGTTTCTTTCTCTTGCCCAATTGCCCTGGCCAGAACTTCTAATACTGTGTTGAATAGGAGTGGTGAGAGAGGGCATCCTTGTCTTGTGCTGGTTTTCAATGGGAATGCTTCCAGCTTTTGCCCGTTCAGTATGATATTGGCTGTGTGTTTCTCATAAATAGCTTTTATTATTTTGAGATATGTTCCATCAATACCTAGTTTATTGAGAGTTTTTAGCATGAAGCAGTGTTGAATTTTATTGAAGGCCTTTTCTGCATCTATTGAGATAATCATGTGGTTTTTGTCATTGGTTCTGTTTATGTGATGGATTACATTTATTGATTTGCATATGTTAAACCAGCCTTGCAGACCAGGGATGAAGATGACTTGATGGGGGTGGATAAGCTTTTTAATGTGCTGCTGGATTTGGTTTACCAGTATTTTATCGAGGATTTTCACATCGATGTTCATCACAGATATTAGCCTGAAATGTTCTTTTTTTGTTGTGTCTCTGCCAGGTTTTGGTATCAGGATGATGCTGGCCTCGTAAAATGAGTTAGGGGGGAGTCCCTCTTTTTCTATTTAAACTGGCTTTTTGAGGAAAGTTGATATTGCACCCAAGAAT